TGAGTTATGGATGCTCTTACTGGACATATATAGAAGGGTGTACCTTGGTGTATGCTTTTCGCAGATGATATTCTTCTAGTGGATAAGACTTGAGAGGGAGTTCAGGAAAAACTTTGATTACGGTGGTTTACATTGGAGTCTAAAGGCCTTCGTTTGAGTAGATCTAAAGTTGAATATATGGAAAGTATTTTAGTAGTTAGTAACTCTAGTGGCAAAATTGTAAGAATGAGCGATCAAATTATTAAAAGTGTGAATGTTTTAGATATTTTCGGTCTTCTCTTCAAAGTGATGGTGATATTTATTAGTAGAATTCAGGTTGGTTGGTTAGTTGAAATACATTGGGCCTATTGTGTGATAGAAAAGTATCGTGTAGACTTAAGAGGAAAATTTTATAAAATGGTGGTGAGGTCTGCAATGTTTTATGGTGCAGAATATTGGCCTTTAAAAGAAAATAAATCTAAGTTTTGTTGAGATGAGAAAGCTTGGGTAGATGAGTGGCTTGACACATAGAGATAAAATGTGAAATGAATCTTTCCGAGAAAGGGTTAGTGTAGCTCTAGTTGCAAACAAGATTAGAGACAGTCGTCTTAGATGGTTTGGCCACATTAAATGTCGATCATGTGGTAATCTGGTTAGAAGAGTAGATGTTTTAGATTCATCTTATGTTAAGAAAAGCATGGGTAGACCTAAAAAGACTTGTGCATACTTTATAAAAAATCATCTTAATCCATTTGAATTAAATGGAAATATGACACTCAATAGGACAATGGAGAAAAAGGATTCAAGTAGTCGAGCCCACTTAGTGGGATAAAGGTTTATTCTTGTTGGTGTTGTTGAATGCCTTTTTTTTTTTTTTTGCATGTTAAGCAAATCTGATACTCACAAAAATGTTTGCTACTGGGAAAGATGTCGAGAAGCTGCCAAAATTTATTTTCAAGCAACTTGCAAAGGACTTAAAAGTAACAATAAAAAGAGCCACCTAAACACCAATGCAATATAAAATGAAAAAAAAAAATAGATTTTAAAATTGCAAAGATCAAACAAAATTACAAATTGGGACTTTCAATACAATGATTCTAGTCATATGAGACAAGAACTGCACATTAAACTAGATAACATGGGAATAGTTAGGAACTTGCATGTTAAGCAAACCTGATACTCACAAAAATGTTTGCTACTGGGAAAGATGTCGAGAAGCTGCCAAAATTTATTTTCAAGCAACTTGCAAAGGACTTAAAAGTAACAATAAAAAGAGCCACCTAAACACCAATGCAATATAAAATGAAAAAAAATAGAATTTAAAATTGCAAAGATCAAACAAAATTACAAATTGGGACTTTCAATATAATGATTCTAGTCATATGAGACAAGAACTGCACATTAAACTAGATAACATGGGAATAGTTAGCTCCCTAATAACCATAAATAATATCTTCCAATGAACACTTAGATTGGGATGCTAATATGTTCTGGAAACAAAAGCTGCAAGCAAACGACGGCGAAACAGAAATAGATGAATGAAAAACTCAAACGATGGCTCCTCTTATAAAAAAAAAGAAAACAAGCAAGATACAATGATGATCTATTTTTTGAGAGCTAGATCGGCTCTCCTACAGCCCTAAACGTTGCTAGGAACACCACAAGAGAAAGAAAACAACAGCCAACCAAAATATGTATAAAATAAAACAAACCCTAGGTGCTTCCCTTAATAAAATCCTCCCACAACATTTCTAACTTTTCTTCCAAGCCCCCTTTAATTTCTCCTCCTTGAGTAAGTAATTAAGCCTCTTGTAGGCCCCACCTACTCCCTACCTTCTTTTGTCGCTGCAAAGTGCCGCCCCACTTCTTCTCGTGAATAGGATCAGCCAGCCTGCTATTGCGGCGGGCCAGTAGGTTGTGGCTTTCAACCGGTCCAGGAGGGACCGGTCTTGTTATTGGCATAATAGATACACGTTGAACAAATTAGAATATGTACCATCATATCTACAAACTATATATAAAAAGATAGAAAGCAGTTTTTAAAATTTTCAAAAGTGCAAACTTATGCACATCTTAATGGCAAAATCATTCATGTGAATGATTTGCATGTATTGCTATACAACACTTTCATAATACCTCAAGGACATTTGAAGTATTTTAAAAAAATGTGCAAGTTCTTTAAACTAGACTGAGGCCTTTGAACTTAAACACATCCACATGCGCTTCTAAAACATGTTAAATGCTCATTCATAAGTTAGAGAATATGAAACGGACTAGCATAAAACGAACTCAAACTTATCAACGTCTACTTCGACCAACATACTAAATATTTGATCATAAAGTCCAAGAAAGCTACGTTGACTGGCATAAATGAACTCAAAATTGTCTGAATGCGCTACTACAAACACATTAATAGCTCACATTTATCATATGAGAATGTGACGCAAAGTATTCAAATGGGATAATTTCAAACTTGCTCAACCCAGTTTAGCATGCAATTATTTTGAATCTCATAGACCCAACTTCAATATTCAAATTCATCGGCAAATCATATGCATTGACATTACCTATATAACAACCTCATAAGTTTCACTTTTTAATTTTGATATCCCATACAGTCTAGAGCCCATGAATGATATTTAAATAACAAATTTTCAAACAAATAAAAATAAAATAGTGATTTCAAGGCTCACTCTTAATTTTATAAATTAAATCAAGTTCTACAGCTCCAATTCTCAACATATGGGCTAGAGTGGACAAGGCTTGTAAAGCAACAAGCATTGAAATACACTCAAAACATAGCAAACTATGAATTAGAACTTTTGCAAGAAAAGACATAATCAAAATAGTTCAAAGCAAAAATGGAAATATCCATATGATAGGCATGTTCATTAGATACTAAAACTTGGGGGATACACTTTAAAAATCAAAGTCTCAAAGTTACAAATATAAATAATATAAATAATTCTTACCTCGAAGATAGATGTATTGACAAGAAATATCATCTTGAAAGGTTAATTTTAAAAAATATAAGTCCTAAATTGCAAATAAAATACTACAATCAAACTACTCCAGTGATGTCATATTTGAATAAAATGTTAACTAGAGATGATTATAGATTCAAAATAGTTTCAAACTCTAAAAAAAACACATCTAATCCAAAGTACATAAAAATATTGAACATATTTAATGATGATTAGAGAATTCAAAAATATTCAAGAAAAATCTATTGCCCAATAAAAGCAAAAAGTCATCAGCTCTTTATATTAGTTTATCAAAAGTGACAAATTTAGAACTAACACAAGTACACAAAGTCCTATCAAACATACATCTATGATCACTATTAAAAAATCTCATGTCAATAATAGCATAACTACTGTAGTTCAACTATGCGTCTTTTATCCTAAATGATATCCAAAAAAGAAGCGATTATAATCAAAGCTCTCCGACTTAACAGTTCACCCTTATTAATACTATTATATTATAATCACAATCAAAGCCCAAATGTTACTTAATGACTTGCCCTCGTCAGTCGTGGATCGTGGATCATAGGGTATACTAGATAACACAAAAAAAAAATCTATTAGCTAAGATTAGTTTATGATTTCTACTTGGACAAAATATCAACACCTTGTATATATGGTTCTATTAGAAATGCAACCAATGGCTGCTAATAAGAATCATTTGATCAGGTTATATTGATTGCCTCATCTGACTAAGTAGACTATAGTCAATGATAACGATAAAACCATGAGATCTTAAGTGGATTTATCATCATTCCCTCACAACAATCGCTCTAAGTAAAGGGGAGCAAGTAAATCTCTTCAATCTAAAATTATATTATTATTGCCATACGCTAAGCAATTAATAGTTTAAAGACCAGTCTTAATCAAAAGTTTTGTTTTGTGTTTGGAAAGATAATTAACCATAAGAGCTTACGTTTGAGAGAAAGCTAGAATCAGATCTTATAATCATTGTAAGGCAAGAGTAAAATTTTTGGATAAAATCTTATCTACAATATAATTTGCCTTCTAGAAATTAAATTGATAACAAATACGAAAACTATTTAAATAGAGCTACGATTAAATTTTTAGAGCCCACACCTACTGAAAACTCTAATTTGTTATCAAGAAATCACTTCACTTCAGAAAGCTCCCTAGAATCCCCTGATAATATAAGTGTAATAACACTTTAAGAAACTAGAAAAGCAAGCCAGCTGGCATTGCAAAGACATGTATATGCATAGATAGCAAAAGCAAACATGTTACAAGTTCGCTGAATGCTCTTGCTTAGGGCCATTGATGATAGTAATGTGATGATGCTCTTGATTGAGTGCAATGGCTTGTTGTTTCTCCACCCTGAACTCTGAATTTCTTCTTCAACAATGAATACAAATAGTTTGCACCCAGAAGATCTCTCTAATTCCAATTCTCTTTATAGAATAAAAGCATGATGAAAAACAATAACAAAAACATGGGGTAGCCGGCTAACAGCTGCGTGAATTTTGCAGAGATGATGAAAGAACAAATTTTGCAGTTTGACATAATAAATTCCCAGTTCAATCTTTCCTTATTATCTTCGGTGACATTTGAATATTGATTTGTAGCTGTATTTTTTAACTTCATCAGCTGCATAGCAGATTATGATAAAAGTTAGGCTGAATTTCGTGTGTTTTCTGCTAAGAATAAATAACCATTATAGCCATCCTCAAATATTTCAAAACCATAGAAAAAACAAAATTACAGGAAAAAAATCATAACAACTCATCAAGTACATTATAGATAAATACAGCTCAAGCAACGTGATCAATTATTGAAAACCAAATTATATGATTACTCAGGGACAAATATAGAGTGGCAGAATCAAAATAAGTTCGAGAAGTTTATCCCAGATCGTGAACGATGCAATAATATGTTGGAAAGATTTATTACTATTTGAAAACTGATTGACAGAAGAAAGAAAATAGGCACACTGAAAATAGATATAATACGGAGAGTATAAGAATGAAAAAGAAAACTGACCTTCTACCTTCGTTATACCCTACAGTAAAAGAAAACAGGAACCAGGAATTAGTAGTGGTGAACCAGCACAAATAGACAGCACAAGCTGTTCCCACCTTAAAAATGCTGCTTGTGGTAGAACTGCAACAACTTCCATAACCAGAGATTACTATCACCTGCAACAATTGTATCTTCAACTAGTTTAAATACTGATGAAAAAAGAAAAGGAGGAGTTCAGCGGATTATAGCAGTAGTACCCGCTTTAGAGGCTCAAATCTCCTTCCGCTTTCTGGGTATAGGCCGGTTGAGCCTAATCCCCAAGATGAGGAAGATGATGCTGAAAAGAAGCCTCTATATGAAGTCAGATAACCTAATTCTCTAACCTTGTTCTTGAATCGGTGCATATCCTTAAAGGCTCCTAGAGAGAGCAAAAATTCACTGAATATTATCTCTTAAATACTGGTAACAACTGAGCGATAGATTACCTGAATGACAAAAAAGGAGGCAGCTTTGGAAAAGTTTTGAAAGCAAGCCTGCGAGTGAATTTCACTTGTAATTTTATTGCACTTCTTTGAAGTTTCCTTCTTCACATACAATTCTAAAAAATGCAAACACCAAAAAAAAAATTAAAAGATTAAATTGCCATGAATACCAAATAAATTAGAGGTGGTATTTAAATAAATAGATCCTTCTTACATCATACTTGACGGAATAGATGCAAAAAAGGCTGCAATGAAGTTCACACGTCATGCAAACATATATATAAACACACACACACACACACACACACACATAACCATTGAGCAATTACTTTCTGATTAGGCAAACAATGGCTTAGGACCAAAGAAAACAAATATTATTGATTAAATATGCATGTTCATCTAAGTATCACACAAAACCGGGTTCAAGGTTCAAGTTAATTCAGCTCGATTCCGTGTTTGAAGCAAACCAGCCAAGTAACGAGCTTGTCAGGATCATGATGAATTCATCATGATCATATTGAAATTGCCAAGGTCACAATGGCAAATTCATCAGACATTTGCTACGTTCAACATGTACTAGTCAAATTCTTCTTGACAACGCCGTTGAAGTCTCATAAAAAATGTTGTGTCCAAGCACACTCAGCCTCAAATACGATCAAGCCTAATCACCCCAATATTTGAAGAAATGATCAGGCCTAAAAACACAGTTTGTATAGCTAACGTTTTGCGGAATTGCGTGAATAATGCTGGCTATTAGTTGGCATTGTGATCCAATTCTATGTTTTTTTCGTGTTAGAGTTTTATGTTTTACTTAATAGAAGATATCATGTCTTTCTATGTGCTTCGTATTTTTCAAAAAGTGATATATTCAGAACGATTATGGTTATTACAATGTATTATGAGTTTATGACATTTATTATAAAGTGCGTTTGTTTCAAATGTTATTTTTGGCACAATATATGATATATTTAGGAAGCTTGAAGTCTACTTAATCCGACAGTGCATATGCTTCTAAAGCTAAGAAGAGGGAGAATTTTTTATGGAGTTTAAACTCAGACGAATCACCCTTTTATTACAAATTATGCATTTGATACCGGAATTAACCAAACTGCATTACAAATTATGCATTTGATACCGGAATTAACCAAACTGCAATAATAAAAGCAAATATTATTATTAAGCAAAACAACTAGGGTTACAATCAAGACTCAAAACATAAACAAAAATAAAACAAATATCAAGATTCTAGAAGGTCGGTGGCAGGATTCTACAAGAGGAAAGGAGGGCAGCAAGCCAGTGGATAGAGCTAGAGGTAGGGAGTAGCTGGCTAACAACTAGGAGTGGGAAGGAAATCGAAGGAGATAGTCACCACCTCGGAGCAGGATACAGCCGGAGCACCACCTATCCTCGGATACAGCCCTAGCAAGGGGAAGAAGCCCACGAGCAGAAATCTAAATCAAAACCAAGAATAATCCCTAAACTCAGTAAGCACACATATTAATAGAAGATAGATAGGCAGGAAAACAAAAAAAGGGGGAATTTTAGGCAGAAATTCTAGCCCGTGAAGGGGTCGACTAGTTGAGCCTCCTATTGGACTGAGACCTTTGTTCCTGCTAAACCTCTGGCCAGTTCAGTCAAACCAAGTCCTTAGGTCAGTCTCCCAGGGTTAGGGGAGCTTCGACTTCATCCATCGAAGCTTCTGGATCTTCGTAATATGATGTCAGCTCAGCGACATTAAATGTGGCTCAAGCATTGTAATCCCTTGAAAAGTCAATCATTTAGCTTTTGAAGCATTCTGAAATGTTTATCTGCTCTGAGCTTGAGTTTTCCAAATGCTCCTACTAGGAAGCTTTCTTTTTTCAGCCGGTTACACACTATGTCACCTTCTCTAAAGGTCACATTTTTCCTTGTCTTGTTCGCCTATGCTGGAACTTATGATTATGCTTAATGATTGATCCCTTTTCTAACTTTCTCATGGAGTTTCTGGTTTCCGTGCACTGGTTCCTCTGCATCATCACTAATCTCTGACATTGACAAGAGCGATACCAATTTCAATATATTGAGCGGATTGCACTCCTACATGATCTCAAGGAGTGTGGCCCGTGGTCTAACTTAGGAATATGTTGTACGGAAACTCGGTTTGAGTAAGAATCAAATTTCATTGGTTGATATTCTTCCCAACGAAACATCTAAGTAAATTTCCAAGGCCCATGTTTACTACACTCATCTGACAGTCCATCTGAGGGTGCGCTGCTGAACTAAATTGAAATTTAATACCTAATTTTCCACACAAAGTCCTCCAAAATGGCGCAAAAACTTGACATCTCTGTCTGAAGTGATGGTCTTGGTTATCTCATGTAATCTCATAATTTCTCTAAAATACAGTCAGCGACATGCGAGGCATCCAGTGGTCGATGGTATGGTACGAAATATGTCATCTTTGAGAATCGATCCACCACGACCATGATTGAATCATTTTCCGCTGTGTCCTCAAAAGTCCCACCACAAAGTCCATGATAATGTACACCCACGGTGCCTTTGGCACCGATAATGAAGTGTATAACCCTACATTATACCCCCCAAGTTTTTGTCATATGACCAATCCCGCATTGTCTGACGTGTCGCTCTACATCTCTCGCTAGTCGAGGCCAAAAGAAGTGTTTTCTTACGAGTGTGTGAGTCTCTCCCTTCCAAAATGTGAGTCCTCCACAGTGGCTCTGCTGAACGATGGACTGCCGCAACAAACATCAAGACTGGACAATTTACTCTGGAACAAATATCCATCGGCTTTGTAGTACTGCCTGATGAGCTTCTCCAAACCCTGCGCTCAAATTTTCCCGAAATCTTTGTGGACCTCGTATAACTCCTTTAATACCTCAAAGCCCATGACTCGTGCCTACATCGCAATGGTCAACAAGTGACGGTGGTTCAACGCATATGCTAAGCAATTCTGACACCACAAGTTGTGCTTAAGCGCGAATTGGAACGATGCCAAGAACACCCAAGGTGCATGTCGGCCCTTCAATTTACTCTGTTTGAGAATTTCAAAGCTTCGTTGTCCGTGAACAACGTGAGCTCACTTGTCAATAGGTATGCTCAAGAGCTTTCATAATAGAATAAAACTCCTTATCGTGAGTTGAGCATTTCCTCCTGGAATCATTTAGCTTCTCACTTAAAAAGGCGATGGGGTGACCTCCCTAGCTCATCACTGCTCCTCTCCCCATGTCATTAGCATCACACTCTACCTTGAACAGCTAAGAGAAGTCTGATAATGTCAAGGCCGGCGCCTAAGTCACATTTTCCTTGAGTGCATTGAAATTATTTTGAGTTGCCTCTGTCTACTAGAATGTCTCCCTTCAAAAGATCTGTAAGAGGGGTGGCATAGTATTGAAGCTCCTAATGAATTGTGTAAAATGATACAAGCCCCAGAAAAAACTTAGCTCGATGAATGGCTGATGCTCGAAATTGTTGAAAGGCAAGAAGGTTAATCACACAAGTATACGTGCGATCAAGTAATATAAGAAAACAAATCCGCAAATCGATACCACGGGGAAAGTGTCAAAATATTCCTAACATGCAAAGTTTTAATTTACCAAACCGCTAAGCTTAGTTTGAAAGCGGAGTTGCAAGTAGAAAAGTTTGAAGTACTAAAACAAAAAGAACAAAGTAAAATAAGTTTTTCTAAGGTTTTTCATATATGTAAAGTTCATACTCCTATGACACCAGTCAAATCATTTCTTAAAGTTTTCACATGGGACTCACGTTATTTTTGACAACCAGAGATAAAAGTTTCTCCTTAGCCTATATCTAGGTCAATAGAAAAGTGGAAACAACTATAAAGTTCATGGATACTTAAAGTTGTACCTTTTGCCAAGATTTTTCATATCTCGTATGTAGGTTGCAAAATCGTACTAAAAATACGTCTATTTCACTAGTTTTTTGTGGTCAACTTATTTGTTCTTCTATGTGATAGGAAAAAGTTTTAAATCGCATGAATTTTAACACTCTATCGTGTCTGAATCGAAGTAAATTAAGTCTGGAAAGCTAACATAACAACATACGAAATTCAAGCACAAAAAGATCGTTGATGGAAAAATACTTCACATAATGAAATAAAGAGAAAACGGCATGCCTTGCATCACAAGAGCATGAAACGAAGTCAATCACGATGCATGAGAAAATAAAATAAGAGAACTTTTATTGCAGGCATAATAATAAGGATTGCAGTGCAAGAGGTCCAAAACACTCAGAGTCAATCAGTCCTTAGGAATATACCTTTTCTAATACAAGTCTCAAAAATCTCCTCTCATACAAGGGCACTCACCTCACCTCTCAAAGTCTCAAGAAAACTAGAACCCTAAAAGTTGTTGTGGAGAGCGTCCATAGTCAGCAAAAAGGTGTATATATAGTGCCCTAACTTCGCTCGTATAGCTTTGGTCGAAATCAGCATAAAAAATCTTGCCAAATCGAGTTCTAGCCGTCCGGTGCTGCAGATGCACACCAAAGACAGCGTGGATGCAACAATGTGTGGGCGTGAATGCACCTGATGAGCAGCGTGTGTATTCCATTCTCTCTATCTCATAAATTGGCCATTTGCAGGTCCGACGCGAGTGCACCTAGGCAGTAGTGCATGTGCACTGTGATGTGGAAGGTTGACACGGGTGTGAGTGCGCTCTATATCAGGCACGGGTGCGCCCCACTACAACTTTTAATCCATCACTCCTGACTCCCAATTTATCTTTTTTCCTCCCCCAAGTGGCATAAACTATGTAATTTGCACAACACAACAAAAATACATTTTTCAAACATAATATCATGATAATTAAGAGAGACAATATTGTATTTAACGCAAAGAAATCATGTAAATTTACCTCATATCAACGATTGCGGTGTGGTACAGCTCACAATGACCTCAATCTTTGTAGGGTCTATCTGAATGTCTGCACTAGACACAATATAACCCAAAAAGCATACAAGATCTATCATGAAGTAGCAATACTTGGATGAGCATATAGTTTCTCTACTCGCAATACCTCGAACACCGTTCTCAGGTGTTGTAAGTATTCCTCCTCAGATTGGTGTAAATCAAAAATTCGCCAAAGTAGACCACTACAAA